CGACAATAGCGAAACCGTCGACAGGGGGACGAAATAGCAATTAATAGCAACGTAACAAAATCGTATTTTAATATTTTCGATATTTTCGTCGTTGCGACATGACCACCGTAAATATAACATCACTCGTACGTTTACTAATTGCGTTTTCTTTCGGTGTATCTTTCTATATTTATCCGTAACCCTACAGTTTATCGATCTATTTAAATTCTTGTCTCATCATATACGAAACATCTACTTGTTCAACACTATATATGTCGGACCAAACCGTAACAACGTACGTACATTACATTTCTGTTGAGTTTCGTTGAATTTATAACCATATAATATTAACGTTTTGTTGGTATTTTAAAATTAATTTTTATTACATCGTGTGTTACACCGTAGTATACTGCAGCGATTGCGGAGACGTAATAAATGGATGATAAAAATCGGCTAAATCTGTCATAAATAAACGAACGTAAAGTTTTAATGACTGCGTGTCTTGCTACGGTAATTAAATAACAAATCATGAACAACCCATACATTTAACAACTATTTTATGATTATAATTCACATTATTTATGTGTGTAGTTCACATTTACAGAGTATGTGTAGGTAATCAAACATACTTCATTTTAAAGCAGAATAATTTATGAGATTGTCGTAAAAAAATAACAAACCAGTAGAATTAACTTGAAACCATATGTACAGTACACTTTGTAAGTTTATAAGTTGCGCTGGATTAATAACGTAGAATAAAGTATTGTGTAATTAGTGATTTACGAATTAAATTACGAATATGTATACAACTTGAGTAGTATGCAGTCTACGTTAGATCAATATCTCGCTAATTGAATATTTATGAATAATTATTGAACGAAATAATACTTATCGTAATATACGTATATTAGTAAAAATACGTTTGTATTAAAATTAACTTTAGAAAGGATACATTACCTACTTCAATTTTTAAGATATATAACTCAAAAGCGCAATTAATGTTTCTGATTGATTCAATTTTTTTCGATGTATTTTGATAACTATACACATTACATGATAATAATATAATACTAAGGATAAAATACAATGGTTCTAAAACATAGACACTGGAACCATTTGAAAAGACATAGATTAACATTGATTTTTAGTTGATTCATAAATAATTAGTATTAGTGAATTAGCACTAGTGAAAAACTACTTGCTTTAAAATAACAAGACTTACGTAGAAAATGTATACAAAAATTACGCTTATGTAATATCAATGTTTTCGATAAATTATTGTCTGTACCAACGTTTACGTTTTTTCTACAGTTTTGATGATGAAACTTATAGTGAACTCCTTGTTTCTATTATTGAAGGAAAATAACAGGATTTGCCAAGATTTAAAAATACGATATCCGGATTTTATTTTAAATCCGAATTCTAGATTTTAAAATGCGAATTCTGGATTTTAAAATCTGAATTTTTCTCTAAACTCAGATTTCGAATTTTGAAACATTGAGCAAATATTCTTTTATGCATTGCTTATAATAAAGTTATACAAGTATTTTTTTTTTTTTTTTTTTTTTAATTAAAATTATATATTTAATACATTTTAAGCAAAATTATTCGATTCAAAAACTAATCACAACTACACTTGAGTTTTAAAAATTCTAATACAATCAACAAGATATGAAAACAGTTACTCAGTGTAGGTATAAATATTTAAGCTCAATTAAACTACCACATCACTAGTTTATACCGCAATCGAACAAAAATTATTTGAGTGATCATTATTTTTCAATTAATACATTATGGATGTGTTTCACAAACATTTGATGTAATGGTATTAATTGTAATAGTTATTAAAATATAGTTGTCACTCTTATTGCATCGTCTCTGTAACAGGTGCAGAGTTCATGATTGAAAATTCATAGCAGAAACTTACGTCATCAAGTCGAAATTAATGCATGTATTGCTAATAAGACGATATTTTTTTGATGTTTTGAAAAATAGTCGTCGATCGACTAGATACACTATTCATACTTAGAAGATCAAACGAGCGTAAACATGGTTATAAACAATAATTTAATTATACTTAATATTTGTGATTTATCGAAACTGTAAGGAAAACTTAACACTTTAATGGCATCTTATGTTTTTTATTCAAAAACGAAAGATAATTATCAAAATATTTTAGGTTTTAGTGTACAAGAACCTTGTGCATGTCGAAATTTTGGTCTAGAAATTACTATTATAATACCTCAGTTCTTGAAAAAAATGATAAGTTTGAACTCAACAAAAAAGGCGTATTATAGTTATTTATTGTATCAATTTGATTTGTAATAAACTTGTATAACAATAATATTAATATATTACTCGCATATAGTTAAAATACACATTTTGAAAAAAAAATACCATACCTAACGATTTTTTCATGCAAATAAAATACATAGCTTTTCTTGGATCCGGGTTAGTGTAAGTAAGAGGAAGTGATAACTTTTTTTCGCAGAGTACCACGTTCCAAATGCAATAAATATAATACGTACGATATTAATTATATCGTACGTATTGAAACTCGTTTAAGATCTTACTTTGATGAAATCATCGTGAAAAATATTCTTCACAAATGAAATGTATCGCATTCAATTATGATTTTTACTGTTTTCGGTTTTTTTTTTTTTTTTTAGTAGTGATCCACTACATGAATAATAAATAGTTAATTGTACTTCAGAAACTCTTATTGATAATCTTTTTATAACCTAGTCCATGTTCTTAAAATAGAATTTGTCTTTTCATATTTTCAAGGATTAAAACGTTCGGCCCAGTCAGGCTGAAATTTATATTTTCACCTGTGATATTATACACATATATGTATGAATTAAAGTAGGGTAAATGTATTGAATTTTGTGGTTTACACAGTATTTTTATTTAGTTTTGAAATGAAAGACAATAAATAAAACCAGAATTATTCCCGAGTATAATACATTTTTAAATTCAACAAAACTTAATTAGTTTGTGTTGGTTTCATAATAGGAACTCGTTGAAATTATACGAAGTATAATTTCAGTATAATATTGTTCGTTTATTTAATTATACTTTTGGTTTTTGCAAATCCGGCTTTGTTAATTGATTTTTACAATCATTATACAAAGTTTGAATGCAAAGAAGAAATAAAATGAATATGAAAAAGACACTTAGAAGAGGTATTTCAATTGAATTGGTTTTAAAATGCTAATATCCAACGATTTCAGTAATTAAATTAAATATTTAGTATTCATGTACAGGACCACTACAAAAAAAAAAAAAAAAAAAAAAACCGAAATCAGTAAAAATCATATTTGAATGCGATACATTTCATTTGTGAAGAATATTTTTCACGATGATTTTATCAATGTAAAAGCTTAAACGAGTTTAAATACGTACGATATAATTAATATCGTAGTATAATATTTATTGCAATCGGAACGCGGTATTCCGCGAAAAAAAAAAGTAAACACCAGCACGCTTGGTGTTGTTGGAATTATTTAATTCGTAACCTTACAAAAGGAATATTGTGTGTCGAACCGTTCTGAAAATATAAAAATGTCCGTCGCACAATCTTTGTGATAACAACGAGACGATCTCGAATAGTCGGACGATTCTTTGATTGCCGTGTTTCTTAGATAGATGAAAAGTCTTATATGCCGTGAAAGCGTCCGATGATTATTCATAGTGAACTATACATGCGCTGAACACATGTTGTGCTATCAGAAGTGCGCACAACTCTATCGGAAAACGCGACAGGATACTCCCTACCGGCGACGACCGTGGGAAACCGAGTTAAGGGACGCGTAAAATAACGTCATTACGACGTTGGAACATGTTCAACAAACATTGAGTTTATTTTTGTTTATTGTTGCAGTTTTCGCTTATATTTCACTTGTGTCTTTCTAGTCAAATCCATCGCAAAACACTCGGCCAATGTTTATCCATGCACCTTGTTTTTTCTACCGGTCATGGTGAGTATCGACAGCTATATTCTCAGTCTCAGGATGTGTTCAATGTCCATTTCTTCTTGATTTTCCGGTATCTGCGTGCAAAAAAACATAAAAAAGCACGTTAAATATCGTTATAAAATAAACGTTTTTGCGGCAAAATCACGACAGTGTACCAATATGATACAAAGTACTAAGAGACCGCAAGTACGTGTGCGATGCCGCGCGTTAAAATAACGCAAGTGCGCGCCGAGCCTAAGTCACGCGCGCAACGGTATCGGAAGACGCGTCAGGATAAAAGCGGTGGCGGGGGCCGTTTGTGATCGGTATCCTTTCGTGTGTTTTCCATTTATAACTTGTCTTCTTCATAACCGGCGAGTGAAATCGGCACTGTACCGATGTCGTGTTGTTGGTGTTGCGTACGCACGAAGAAGAAAATTCGATCGAAACGCGCGGCAAAAGCGGTGCTATGCGTACCACAATATTAGTTACCGAAGAGAAAAGAGGAAGAAAAACGAATAAAACTAAAATTGAACCAGACTGTAATATATTGTACCGATGGGCACACGATGATGTCCCGAAGAGTTGTAACCCGTTTGGATTTTGCGCGATACCACTCGTAAAGTTGACGTTTTAATAACGGACGAAACCGTCTGAAGTATATTAATATCACGAGTGTATAAAACGTAGTACGACGTTTCGGAGCAGCTTATTACGTGCCCGCGAGTGTTTCGCCGAGCGTACAATCATTATTTCATACTCATAACGAGTCCCCGTGTACGCGTCGTATATCAATCGGTGCACTCTCTTAATATCGTGTACCCGTGCTCCGAAATATCCTAACGCGTTTCGGATCCGATCGTCCTAGGGAACATCTCCGTTGATATTACCTCATTTGTTTGTTGAAATACGCTTGTGTGCGTGTGTGTTGTTATAAAATAGTAAAACGTTAATTTCATTGTACGCGTAAAATACACCGATGGAAAAACATGACGATTATCTACATGAAATACATTTTCGGTAACGAAGAAATTATAATAATAATATATAATAACGTCATCAGTCGTAATTCGACCTTTGACGGTGCGTGTCGTGTTAATCTTTTTCTTCGTTCTACTCGTTTTTGTTACGTTATCGTTATATTTTTCTTATTAATTTTATATTCCTACCTGCGTGTTGTAATATGAATACTACAGATGAAAATGCCTCAAATACTGCAGAAAATACTTCTACTATCAATGATAAATTGGACAAATTATTTAAAGTTGTAAATGACATGAAATCTACTCAAAGCAAACTAATTACTTCATTCAATGCTTACCGTGATGAGAAGAAAATCCACGACAAAAAATTCACTGATATTGAAGGTAAATTAGATATTATTACCAAGCATTTCAATGACTTGCTTAATGAGAACAAAGCTCTTAAAAATCAAATTGAAATTATTAGTTCTAAGTTGGTTGTACTTGAAGCACGAAACTCTACTCCACCGTCAGTCAATCATGAAGAAATCTTATCTGAAATTATAGACCGCCAAGCTAGAAGCCGTAATTTAATTTTATTTAACGTTCATGAAAACACAACTGATTCTCTAAACGAAATTCAAGTAGTTTCTGAGTTATTCCGTCAAATTGGTGTTACCACTGTTCCATTAAATGTTCTCCGTCTTGGTAAAATTTCTAATAATGCTCGGCCTATCCGTGTTACACTACCAAATCAACATGATATTTTTAACGTATTAAAAAACAAATTTAAGTTACGTCAATCTGAAAATTTAAAACACATCAGTATATCTACAGATCGATCTTTAGGGCAACGTAAATATTTCAAAGTTGTGTTAGATGAGCTTAACACCAGAAAAGCTGCTGGTGAAAATGATATATTTATCAAATTCAATAATAACATTCCGTTCATTTCAAAAAAACTGCCGAAACTAAGACCAAGTTCCTACAATCTCAAGTTTTACTATCAAAATATTCGTGGCATAAACACTAAACTTGATGTTTTTAATAGAAATATTGCTCTGGTGGACTATGACATCATAATACTAACAGAAACCTGGCTTCATAATGAGGTCAATGACATTGAACTTGGTATTATCCCAAAATACACAGTTTTTCGTTGCGACCGTGATAGTGTCATGGGCTGCATTATCAGAGGAGGTGGTGTGTTAATTGCGATCAAGAATCACCTTCAATGTAATCGTATTCCACTTCAAAACAACAACATCGAGCAATTATTTATCAAACTTTCTATGGGTTCTTTCACTCTATTAATTGGATCGGTATATATTCCTCCTAATTCAAGTGTTGATATTTATAATGACCATACTGATACTGTAAGCAATTTGTTAAATCTTTCGCATTACTCAAATGTTATTCTATTGGGTGACTATAATCTACCGGGTATTCACTGGTCGTTATTAAATAATAAAATTGTCCCTAATGTTTCTCAATTTAATAATTTAATTGCCAATAACCTGGCTAATTTCTCTTACCTTAATCTTAATCAGTTCAATCTTGTTAAAAATCGATCAGATTCAATTCTCGACTTAGTTTTATCTAACGCTCATAATTTAGTAGTTCGTAACGAGCCATTTTCTTTGTTACCGATAGATTATATGTATCACCCTGCATTAACTGTCACACTCCCAACCAATGTAAATTTAGAATCATTAAGTTATAATGAAATTGTATATGATTTTTTCAACTGTAATTATAATGTTATACGTTCATCATTAGCGATTATAGATTGGTCTCAAGTTTTTGATAAATTGTGCATAAACAATGCAGTTGATATTTTCTATACAATTATATTTAAAATAATTGATGAAAATTGTCTTAAAAAAAAACTTTTCACTTCTAAACATCCCACTTGGTTTAGTCCTGTACTGAGGGACTTGGTTTTTAAAAAAAAAATAGCACACAAATTATATAAAACATCTCCTACACAATTAAATTATAATATATTCTCTGCACTTAGATCTAAATGTAGGGCCCAATCTAAAATTGATTATAATAAATACATTTCAGAAACTGAAAATTCTTTATTATCTTGTCCCAAAAAATTTTGGCGATTTATTAAATCCAAACGCTCTTCTCAGTCTTTTCCTACCTCAATGTTTTATTTAAATCAGTCTATTAATGGAGGTGATGAAATAGTTGACTGCTTTTCTAAGCATTTTTCTAGTGTTTATGTCAACTCAATTACACCACCGTTAATCAATCACTCATCATCTGATTCTACCACCAATTACTCCGATCTTAATTTATTTTCGTGTGTCTTAAATCTTACTGATGTTCTCCAGGAGTTAGATACGTTGAGTTCAAAAACTAATCCTGGCATTGACATGATTCCGAGTATTTTCTTTTCTAATTGTAAATTTGTATTAAGTGTCCCTTTATTATACCTTTATAATTTGTCATTATCAACGGGTTGTTTTCCTTCCGCTTGGAAATCAAGTTTTATTACACCTATTTTTAAAGGCAATGATGTTACTAATATAATAAATTATAGGCCTATCTCATTAATTTCAATTATACCTAAGATTTTCGAGTCAATGATTTCAAAAAAGATTACACCACTTCTCTTACCTTTAATAAGTTTGGATCAACATGGTTTTATTAAAGATAGATCAACAGCCACAAATCAGTTAATTTTTCAGAAATTTATACTTGATGCCTTTTCTCAAGGTTTTCAAGTTGATGTTATTTTTACAGATTTCTCTAAAGCCTTTGATAAAGTCGATCACCAAATTCTTATCTCTAAACTCCGTACTATTGGTATGAATGACCCCTTTCTTTCTTGGATTTATTCTTATATTTCCGATAGAAAACAAATAGTCAAGTGTAAAAACTTTAAATCGATTCCTTTTACTGTATCATCTGGTGTTCCTCAAGGTTCTCACCTTGCTCCAATTCTATTTCTATTATTTATAAATGATTTAAATTTGTTTTATTCTAGAAAATTACTATTCGCCGACGATATGAAATTGTTCCGTCTCATAAAAAACAGTAATGATACATCTTTATTACAAGATGATTTAAGTTTTTTAGCTAATTGGTGTGATATTAATAAATTACCTTTAAACTTCGAAAAAATGCAAAGTTATGTCCTTCACGCGATCTCGTAATCCAATTCTTCACACTTATAGTTTACGTAACCACCATTTACATCGTGTAAATGAATTTTGTGATCTTGGTGTCATATTCGAGTCTAATTTAACCTTTAATCACCACATTCAACATATTATCAATAAATCATCTTCGATATTAGGCTTTATTACGAGAAACTGTAAAGACTTCAATAACCATAACACATTAAAAATTCTATTTATGTCCTTAGTTAGATCTAAGCTTGAATATAATTCAACAGTTTGGTCTCCTTATTTAAACACGCAAATTCAATGCATTGAGAATGTCCAAAATCGCTTTCTCCGTTTTATGTCCTATAAATGTAATATTATACGTGTACCTCACTCATCTTATCAACCTTTGTTGAACACATTTAACATCCAGAGCTTAGCAAACAGAAGAAAGGTAAATGATCTATTATTTTTGTTCAAACTGCTAAACGGTTTTTTCTTCTGTCCGGAGCTATTAAGTTTTTTAAATTTTTCTGTTCCTCAAGTCAGAACTAGATCATCAATCATAAGTACTTTTTATATAAATAATCACAAAACTAATTATGCTTTATCCGCTCCTATAAATAGAATGATGGCTATCGCTAATGATGAACAAATTGATTTTTTTAATTTCAGTCCAAATTCTGTCGATTTTTTCAATAGTTTTGTAAGAAAAAAAATTGTTTAGATTTATTTCTGATATTAATTTTTGAGTTGTACTGTATTGAGTTTTCGTATTTTGAGTATTTTGTCCAATTGTTATTTTTACTATATTTCTGTGTTTTTTGTATTATTAGAATATTAAGTATCTTAGTTATTCATTAATTTATTTTTTCAAATGTTATTTACCTATCAAATGTTTTACCATACCTATATGTATTATGTACTAAATTTCAATCCTTATGTAATTGGGTTATTACCCGTAAATAAATAAAATAAATAAATAAATAAATAAGAAAAAAATATTAAAACATTTAAGCTTTTATGATACAGCACTTACATCGTTGAATCGTCGCACGACCGGTTAAAGCTGTCGACTAAGGTGAACATGTTAAGATGACTAAGGCTAAATAGTAGTACGCAGTACCGGTTTCGGTCCATACGCGTACACGAAACTAGCAATAATATTTTCGAGTATATTTTACCACTAAAGTGGTAGAACCAATTGCCCGATAAGGTACCTATTCTTTCTATGGGCTACAAAACTATTGTGACTCCGTTATCAATAGTTATCGATTCGAGCGTTAGCGGGTTTTCAAACTTTCACCGAGAACACCGTTAGGTTTTATGAAAGGCATAAAATTCAACAAATCACTTGACTACACGATTGGGTTTTCACATAATTTGCATCGATCCAATGTCATGATAAATTAATAGGGTTACATTAAATGTAAAAAAATAGTTTTAAATATACAAGTCGTTATTATACCACAAACGTGGATTAACAGGTTGATAACATCTTGTTAATTTTTAACGATACTTATATAAATATAAATTATAATATGTAATAATATTACATAGGTTAAATATGGATTGTCTTTTATATTATATTACAGTAATATTTTCATATTTTCGTAGTTTCTGATTAAAATACATGTCGAAAAAATAATACATAAAATGAAAAACGATGCAAATAAACGAGAGCAGTAGAAAGTAAAATGAGACTAACCAATCGCTACAAAATGCAAAGCAATTGTCTCAGACGGTACACTGATATAGGATTAAAGAATACAATTTAAAACTTTTTATATTTTATAATTGTGTTTTAGGCTTTCAAAAAGTTGAGTTGAAAAAATAATAGCTGATGACATTGGAATAATTGTTGCCAAATAAAAAAAAAAAAAAAAATACGTATACGATGACAAGCATTTTAGATTAAAAATAACACTACTGTTTTGCTAAATATTTTTTCGTTGCAATTATTTTACAGTATTTTTTAATGCAAAATAATGTGACGATATTTTAATAAGATTCTAGGAACTGCTTATTTTTTAAATTAATTTTTTATGTTTTATTCATTTAATATATTTTTCAATGATTTATTTTGTACATAGCCATGTAAATAATACGCTTAATAAAAATCGTGAAATTTTTTAGATAATACAAAATTTTATCCGGGTGCATGGAATATAAAATATTCAGAAGTACAGGGATATTTTGTTGATTATGCATATTTTTTACACGCATTTTAATTAAGTAGTGAAATATTTTAAATTTACCAAGCTCATCAATCATTTTCTTCCCATCCCCTCGCAAGTTAACGTTTTTTTTTTTGACGTCGGAAACACATATTTATTCAATTTATAATACAATATATTTTACGATGTGTTATGGACAAGCATGCGTGGATATTTACGTATTGGGTGCTAGTCGCGTCGTCGCCGTCCAATCCGACACGAAACCGGAGTACGTTACGAACTTGAAAATTTTCACTCGAAACTGATATCAAACACTAAACCCCTAATTTGAATTATAATTAAAATAATACTCCCAACGATCCCCTCATAGAAAAAAAATAAAAATAAATTTAATCGTGATCTATACTTTGACAAAATAAAAACTAAAATCCCGCATTTAAATAACCCGATAAAATTATAATCAATGAGTGACTCTTCTTGTATTATGGAATGTATGTTATTCATGTTAGTGTTACGCTTTATTAGTTTAGTGAAATCGTTCTCAGAAAGGCTAATTTTTTATTCTATACAAAAATTATAATTTTTTAAACAGAAACACGTAAAAATAAATAAAAAATCGGCAAGGCGTTTTACCGAATTCAAGATTTCTTCCAAACGATTTCGTCGATTATTCGTACCGTTTTACTCGAGTCTTTTGCCTTTTCCCTAAAAATTTACCGGAAACCTTCGCGCGCGTACATACCACACGTGAAAAGAAGCATTAACGAGCGTTGTAAACAAATATGGGTGGGTAAAGTTCCTACGAGACGTAGTATCCGCGTAAATATTCATCATATACGTACACATACAGTGAATTTTGCTTAATGTGGATACGTTGGGTGCAAACTCATTTGTTCATTATAAACGGTTGGCCATATAAACTGAACTTGGTTTAAAAACACCAACTTTTTTAATATCGAAAAGTTTGAGCACTAAAACCATGGAATTAAAGAAAAAAAAATGTTAGATTCAATTAATAGATAAATAATTATACAAAATAATAATGAATAATATAATCTCAGGATGCCTAATTTCTCACCGATTTTACGTTGATAAGTGCCTTGAGAAAGATACTATGACCGAAATCACGACTTTTTCCTTAATAGAAAAATATTTTCTAGACATAAACAAAAAACGTTCACGATATCGTTGAAATTCATTGTAAAACTGAAACGATTGTTGTAAGTGAAAAAAAGAGAGCTACAAGTTTATGGCTTAATTTTTTTTTTTTTTTTTTGTATTGTTCAAGATAAAATTATACATATCATTAAATTTACAATCAAATCGCATTATGGTTTAATAGTTTATGATTTTTATTATTTTTGACTACTACAATCTCATAGATACGACGAAATCCAACTGTATTAGATGTTAATATATATTCTAACGCTATGATTAAATATATATTGCCCACATACGAGTAAACCGAACACTTGGGTCAGGTCATATTAAGCAGTTTTTTTTTTATCCATGTTGGTATACA